TGATCATGAATTGGAAGACTCAAAAGATGTGTCACAAATTGATGTTCAGATTTAATAAAATTTCTATCAAAATCCCAGCATGCTATTTTGTAGTAGATGTAGACAAGATTTCCATAACATTTGTATGGAAAGCAGAGAACCCATAACAGCTAAAAACGATTTTGAAAAAGAAGAATAAAGTAGGAGAAATAAGTCTACCCAGTTTATAACTTCAAGATGTATATACAGCTGTAATGATCAAGACTGTGCTGTATAGGAAGGAATACATTCAAACCACAGCACCTGGTAGAGGGAGAGACACATAGATCAATGAAATAGCATAGAGAACCCAGGAATAGTCCCACACAAATATGCCCAACTGATTTTTTTTTTTGAAACAGGATCTTGCTCTTTTGCCTTGGCTGGCATTGCAGTGGCATAATCATGGCTCACAGCAGCCTCATCTTCCTGGGCTCAAGTGACCCTTTCACATCTCAGTCTCCCAAGTAGCTGGGACTACAGGTGTATGCCACTATGCCCAGTTAATTTTTGTGGGGGTTTTTTTGTTTGTTTTTTGTTTTTGTTTTTTTGTTTGTTTGTTTTTTTGTAGAGACAGGATTTTGCCATGTTATCCAGGCTGGTCTCAAACTCCTGGGCTCAAGAGACCTACCTGCCTTGACCTCCCAAAGTGCTGGGATTACAGGATTGAGCCACCATGCCTAGCCCAGCTGATTTTTGTCAAAGGTGCAAAAGCAATTCAACAGAGGTACAATGGTTTCAATATGTTCCTTCCAAAATTCAGGTATTAACATTTTATGGCCAAAGTGATTGTATTAATAGGTGGGGCCTTTCAGAGGTAATGGTTCATGAGGGCTCAAATGGCATTAGGTCCTGTGTAAGGGTCTTCTCTTCATGCAGCATCCAGCTTGCTTGCCCGTCTGCCTTCCACTATGTGAGGACACGTGATCCTCCCCTCCGGAGGATGCAGCAACCATAGCGCCATCTTGGAAGCGGAAAACAACCTTCACCAGACAACCAAACCTGCAAGCATCTTGATCTTGGACTTCCCAACCTCCAGAACTAAATAAAATTTAGTTTATGACGAATAAAGTTCCATTCTTTGTAAATTACCTAGTCTCAGGTATTTTTGCTATAACATCACCAATGGACTAAGACAGAGGAAAGAGAGCCCTTTCAATAAATGATGCTGGAATAACAGGACTCTCATGGGCAAAAACATGAACCCCAACCTAAACCTCACACCTTATACAAAATTAACTCAAAATAGATCACAAACTTAAATATGAAACACACAATGATAGACTTTTAAAAAACACCATAGGAGAAAATCTTTGGGATCTAGGGCTAGGCAAACAGTTTGCAGACTTCACACCAAAAGCATGATCCATAAGAGAAAAAGTTGATAAAGTGGTGTGTTAATTTCCTGTGGGAACTATAATAATTACTACAAAATTCTTGGTTTTAAACAACAGAAATTTATTCTCTCACAGTTCCAGAAGCCAGAAGTCTGACATCAATATTACTGGGTCCAAATCAAAATGTCAATAGGTCTGTGCTATCCTTGTTGGTTATAAGAAAGGATGCATTCCTTGCTTCTTCCGGTTCCTGGCAGCTAACAGAGTTCCATAGCTTGTGATTATATCATTCCAGTCTCTGCCTCCGAGGTCACATTGCCTTTTTGTCTTCCAACGGTACTGAATCATCCTCTACCTCTCTCTCATAAGGATACTTGTGATTACATTCAGGGCCCATCCCAATAATCCAGGATAACCTTCTCATTTCAAGACCTTTAACCTGCTGGGCATGGTGGTTCATGCCTATGATCTCAGTACTTTGGGAGGCTGAGGCAGGAGGATCACTTGAGCCCAGGAGTTCGAGACCAGCTTGGACAATATAACAAGACCTAGTCTCTACAAAAAAATTTAAAACTTTTAGCCAGGCCTGGTGGTGCCCACCTGTAGTCCCAGCTACTCAGGGGTCTGGGGTGAGAGGATTGCATAAGCCTGGGAGTTTGAGGCTGAATGAGTTGCAATGCACCACTGCACTCCCGCCCAAGGGACAGAGTAAAACCCTGTCAAACACACACACACACACACACACACCTTTAATGTAATCACATCTGCAATCACATCTGCAAAGTTCCTTTTTTTTTTTTTTTGCCATAAAATGTACCTTTACATGTTCCAGGGACTAGGATGTATACATCTTTTGAGGGGCCACTATTCAGCCTACCACAATTGGACTTGATCAAAATTTTACATTTTTTCTCTGCAGAAGACCCAAGTGAATGAAAGGCCAGCTACAGACTAGTAAAGATTTGCAAACTGTGTACCTGACAAAGGACCAGTTTCTGAAATGTGTAAAGAACCCTCAAAACTCAACAATTTTTTAAAAATCCAATTAGAAAATGGGCAAAAGACATAAAGAGTTATTTTACTGAAGAGGATATAAAGATGGCAAAAAGCATATAAAAATGTTCAACTTCATTAGCTATGAGGAAAGCGCAAATTAAAACCATAATGATACATCACTACACACCTATTAGAATTACTAAAATAAAAAAAATAGTGACAGTACCAAATGCTAGCCAGAAAATAGGGGGAAACTCGATCATGCATACATTGCTGGCTAGAATGTAAAAGGGTACAGCCACTGGGGAACAACTAAAACTAAACATGCAATTAACCATGCGAACCAGCAGTTGCACTTCTGGGCATTTATCCCAGAGAAATAAAAACTTACATTCTTCATACAAACACCTATAAACAAATCTTCATAGCAGCTTTATTCATAATAGCCCCAAATTGTAAACAACCCACTTGTCCTTCAACAAGTGAATGGTTAAACAAATTGTGCTGTATCCATACAGGGAACCACTATTCTGTAACAAAAAAAAACAAACTATTGATACTTGTAACAACTTGGATGACTCCACAGAGAATTACACCAAGTGGTAAAAAGAAACCCAAAAGCTTACATATTCTATGACTCCATTTAAGGACAAAATTATAGAAATGGAGAACAGATTGGTGGTTGCCAGAGGTTAAGGGGATGGTGTGGCTGAGGACCGAACGGGTGTGGTTAGGAAAGGGGAAAGAGGGGTTTTTGTGCCGGTGAAAATGTGCTGGACCTTGGCTGTATTTTTTTTTTTTTTTTTAAGACATGGTCACACTCTGCCATCCATAGTAGAGTGCAGTGGCGCAATCACAGCTCACTGCAGCCTTGACCTCCAGAATTTAAGCAATCCTCCCACCTCAGCCTCCCCATTAGCTGGGATTATAAGCAGACACCACCAAACCTGGCTAATTTTTGTATTTTCTGTAGAGATGAGGGCTCACTATATTGCCCAGGTTGGTCTCAAACTCCTGGGCTCAGATGACCCACCTGCCTCAGCCTCTCAAAATGCTGGAATCACAGGCATGAGCCACTGCGCCCAGCCTTGACTGTATTAATATGAGTATTTTGCTGGTGCTATTGTACTAGAGTTTTGCAAGATGTTTCCATTAGAAGAAACTAGGTAAAGGATACATTGATTATTTCTTACAATTGCTTGTGAATCTACAATTACCTCAAATTTACAATTATCTCAGAATCCAAAGTTTACTTTTTAAAAAAGATATACAAAATGCACACCCAGATTTTATACTAGATTTAACAGAAATGAAAATCATCAAAACTTTAAAATTCTGCTCTTCAAAAGACACCATTAAGAAAATGAAAAGTCAAGTCAGACACTGGGGGAAAATACTTGTAATGCATACATCAAACAAAGGACTAGTATCCAGACTATATAAAGAGCTTTTACAATTCAATAAATACATTAAAACCACAGTGAGATAGGACTTCACAACCATGAACATGGCTAAAATGCAAAAGCCTAACAATGCCAAGTGTTAGCAAAAATGTAGGACAACTGAACTGTCACATATTATTGCTGTTAAGAATATAAAATGGTACACATATTTTGGAAAACTGCATAGCAGTCACACCTAGATAGCTACTCAAGAGAAATGAAAGCATGTATTGACACACAGACTTATACAGAAATGCTTTTTCATCATAGCCCTAATCTGGAGACAACCCAAATGTCCACCAAGAGAGAAATGGATAAACAAATTGTGGCACATATAAACAATAGAATAAAAACAATAAACTATTCATACACACACAGACATGGATGAACCTCAAAACCAGCGTACTGACAAAGGAAGATAGACACAAAAGACTACACCATATGGTTCCATTTGTATGAAATTCTAGAACAGGCAATGCTAATCTATAGTGACAGGAAGCAGATCAGCAGTTACCTGGGGCTAGGTGAGAAAGAGAGCACTGACTGCAAAGGAGTAGGGGAAATCTTCGTGGTGATAAAATTTTCTATACCTCTATTGTGGTGGTGGGCATAAATATGTGTCAAAATCACCCAACTGTACTCCAGTTGTGTGATCAATTTATGTAAATTATAACTCAGTAAGGATGATTTTTATTTTTATCTTTTTGACAGGGTCTTGCTCTGTCACCCAGGCTGGAGTACAGTGGCACAAACATGGGTCACTGCAGCTTCCAAATCCTAGACTCAAGCAATCCTCCTGCCTCAGCCTCCTGAGTAACTGGGACTACCAGCCACCATGCCCGGCTAATTTTTATTTTATTTCTTTACAGTTGGGGTCTCACCATGTTGCCCAGGCTTAGGTTGATTTTTTTTTTTTTTTTTTTTTTTTTTTTTTTTTTTTTTTTTTTTTTTTTTTTTTTTTTTTTGAGACAGAGTCTTGCTCTGGCTCTGTTGCCCAGGCTGGAGTGCAGAGGCACAATCTCGGCTCACTGCAACCTCTGCCTCCCAGGTTCAAGTGATTCTCCTGTCTCTGCCTCCTGAGTAGATGGGATTAGAGGCGCCCACCACCAAGCCTGGCTAATTTTTGTATTTTTAGTAGAGATGGAGTTTTATCATGTTGGCAAGGGTCGTCTGGAACTCCTGACTTCAAGTGATCCGCCCACCAAAGCCTACCAAAGTGCTGGGATTACAGGCATTAGCCACCATGCCCGGTTGCTTATGTTGATTTTTAAAAGACAAAATACAAGCCCATATTTTGCTTTAGATTGAACAGGCACAAAAGTACAGTTTCAATGCTTAAATTTCTGGGTGCTTGTTAAAGTTTCTAAACGCTTAGTCTAAATGCCTGTACTTAATCCTTCCTCGCTTCTGGATGTGGAGCAATTTGAATTTCCGGCTGTGGTCCGAGGACCACACTTTGAGTAGCACCACCCTACTCCACTTTGCCAACTACCTGTGTTTTCTAATAGGCATCCCCACAGTCTCCCCTTCCAAACCTCACTCAGGAAAGCTGAGAAGCCAGAGACAGGGGGGTTCCAGGCTGAGCCCACGGTCACTAGGTCTTGAACACCGGCTTGTGCTGCAGCCGCAGCACTCGGTACGTGTTGAGGCCCGGCACATCGAAGCCGGGGGACAGCCCGTGGTGATCCAAGGGGTAGAAGTTGACCAGCTGCCCATGCTGGGCCTCGAGCGAGAGCCACGCGTCGCCGAGCGGCAGAGCGCAGGGGAACTCGCGAGCCACGTGCAGCTGGAAGACGCGGCCGCGCAGGTGGCGCAGCGCCAGGGTGCGGAATTCGGGGGGCACCAGCGCCTCCACGCGCGGCCCGAACTGGCGCAGATGCAGCTCGCCCGCCGGCCCGGCACGCACCTCGTAGAAGGTCAGGTTGGCGAAGGTGAAGTAGCCGGCGAAGGGGCGCGCGCTGGGCGGCGGGGCCGGGTCGGGCTCGGCCTCCCGGAGGGCGCGCTCCAGGGCGGGCAGGAGCTCGTCGTAGACCCGCGCCACCAGGTCGGGCCCGGGCGGCCGCGGCCCGGCCAGCAGCAGCACCAGGCCCAGGCGCAGCGGGGGCACCAGCGAGAAGGTGGCAGCGTAGCCGTCCAGGTCGCCGTCCTTGCGCACCACGCGGTAGCCCCGCTGCGCGTGGAACTCCCACGGCGTGCCCGTCTCGTTGGCGAAGTAGGCACCTGGGCAGGCCAGCAGCGGCGCCAGCAGCGTCTTGGCCGCGTCGGACCGTAGGAGCCGCCGGGGCCCGCCCCCCAGGAGTGCCACGGCCAGCTTGGCCAGGTCGGCGGCGGTGGAGTACATCTGGCCCGACGGCCGGTACCAGCCCAGGTCGTAGAGCGGAGCCGGCCTCCCGCTGCCGTAGAAGCCCGCGGCCAGCCGCGCACGCACGACGGGCGTGAGGTCGAAGCCCGTGTCCGCCATCCCCAGCGGCTGCAGCACGTTCTCCGAGACCCAGCGCTGGTAGTCGCCCTGGGCGGTGTGAGCTGCCAGGACGTGGGCCAGGAGCGAAAAGGCCAGCGTGCTGTAATGGCACCTGGAAGGAAAGCAGTGGCAACTGGGATGGGGCCCCTCCTCAGCTGCCCACGCTGTCTGAAATGCCACCAGTTTCATGGGACTGGGCGGAGCTGGGAAGGAACCTACTCCCCTGCATCCTAGGTGGTCAGACCTGGAGGAGACTTCAGGGCATTGACGCTCTCTCTTCTACATCTGGGAAGACCAAGGCCCAGAGAGGGGCAGGGAATTGCCCAGTGTCATATAGCAGGTTGGAAGAGAGCTGGGCTCAGCGGTGCACCCGGCAAAGTTGTCGGACACATCTTATTGGCCCTTCACACTTTAGTATGATTTACTTTATCGAATGAAAAATTAAAGGCTTACATTGCTCTGGGGAAACAAAAATGATAGTGACCATGTACGAGGCAAGGTCTCAACCCTCCTTTCTTCCAGGCTGGGGCGGACACCGGTAACCAGCAAGAGGCCTCTTTTCTTTCCAGGAGCAAATACCGTTTCAGAATCTCTAAAATAGTGCCTCAGGAAGGTGCAAGGATGGGTGAAAATTCACAAATTCTACTAAGCATTCCTGAACTCTAAGCCAACTTCCTTATTTTTGCAGATGAGGAAGATTAGTTAGATGAGTTTCACTGAAATAAAGTGCATCATCCAAGGTCACATTGCAATAAATTATTCGCAGAGCTGAAAGGAGGACTCCAGCCTGGAGATGTCCAGGCATCTCCTCTCTCTGCATCACCTGGATCATTTCTTCCTTAAGGGAAGTGGGGCCTGAGGTTCAGCATTTGGAGAAGCAGAGGGACAAACTTGGAAATGGGTCACCCCCCAGAGACGGGCCCCTGAAGCCGGAGAGTGCCAGCTGTCCTCTGTCCAGCCCCACGGTCCCACTGCTCCCAGAGTGGGGCTTCTCTGTTCAATGGCCACCCAGCTATCCAATCCCCATCTGGTCAGCAATCCATTTATTTCCAGCCTGGCAAAATCTGTATTCACCTTGCTTATTTGCTCACGGTGTCTCCCTCACAAGAGTACAAACTCCATGAGGAGGGCCCGGTTGGATTTCTTTGCTGCTGCACCTCTGTGTTTAGCACATTCTGGGCAAAGTAGGTGCTCAATAAATGTTAAGTTGGTGAATGGAAAAAACATTCCATTCAAACAGAACTGGATTCTGGGCCCAGCTCTCCCCTCTCTTGCTGGCCTCCCCTCTCTAGACCTTGGCCTTTCCAGCTGGGGAGCAAGTCTCTCTGATCACCTAGGATGAAATGATGTCAGCTTTTTCCCAGGCAGGTGTGTCTCCCCAGGAGGCTCCTAATGTGAGGCTGGGCATCAGGGTACGCTCCTCACCTGGTTCCCGGGTCCACCACCAGCACATCATCCTTGAGCAGGTTCAGGGCCTCCTGGGTGCTGCCCTTCCAGAGCAGCGAAGTGGAGCGGAGCCTTCTGGGCAGCCCTAAGGAGGAGCAGTGATCAGACTTACTGGGCTTAGCTGAGGGTGGGATGATGGGCCCCTGGGTGCACTCCCTCCCCGCCTTCCATGAGTTGAGAGATGATAAAATGTTTTTTTAAAAAAGAAGGGCCCGACGTTGTGGCTCACGCCTGTAATCTCAGCACTTTGGGTAGCCGAGGTGGGGGAATCATGAGGTCAGGACATCAAGACCAGCCTGCCCAACATGGTGAAACCCTGTCTCCACTAAAAATGCAAATATTAGCTGGGTATGGTGGCGTGTTCCTGTAATCCCAGCTACTCAGGAGGCTGAGGTAGGAGAATTGATTGAACCAGGACCCAGGAGGCAGAGGTTGCAGTTAGCTGAGATCACACCACTGCACTCCAGCCTGTGCTACAGAGTGAGAGTAGCTGGGATTATAGGCACAAGCCACCACACTGGGCTAATTTTTGTATTTTTAGTAGAGACAGGATTTCACCATGTTGGCCAAGCTGGTCTCAAACTCCTGACCTCAGGTGATCCGCCCGCCTCAGCCTCCCATAGTGCTGGGATTACAGGTGTGAGCCACCAAGCCCAGCCCTTAATATTCTTAGGAGTATTTTCTGTGAGCTGTCAATTCTGTTCCTCTCCTTTACCCATTTTTCTGTTGGGCTGTTGGTCTTTGTAATAATTTGTAGGTGACTTTTATATATTAAGGGAAATTAGGTCTTCCTTGTAGAATTGTTTAAAAATATAGCCTTTTTTTCTTTTTTTTTTTTTTTTTTGAGATCTTACTATGTCATCAATCATAGCTCAGTGTAGCCTTCAACTCCTGGGCTCATGTGATCTTCCCACCACAGCCTCCCAAGTAGCTAAGACTACAGGTGTGCACCACCTCACCTGGCTATTTTTAATTTTTTTTTATAGATGGGGTCTCACTATGTTGCCCAGACTGGTTTAGAACTCCTAGGCTCAAGTGATCCTCCCACCTCAGCCTCCCAAAGCACTGGGATGGCAGGCATGAGCCACTGAGCCTGGCCACATACTGACTCACTGACTTGCTCTTCTTGCCTTATCAACTTGATTTTGACCTGCCAACTCATCTTGATGTTTCTACTTGGTCTGTTTCCAGGCTTCACTTCAGCTTTTACCTCGAGAGATATTTCTTTCCCTGGCCCACCACCCACATCCAGTGAGAGGGAGGTAGGGCCAGTTCAGGAAGCAGAGGTGAGAGTGAACCCATTTCACCTGGATGAGAACCTGTTCCTCAGCTTCCCCATCTGAAATGGTTTGGGTCAGCCTGAGTCAGTTCTGAGACTCACCTGAGAGCTGGCTAGCCATCCTTCGAAGGGTGACAGGCGAAGGCCTTGGAGCAGGGCCCACCTCCTCCAACGCGTCCCTCAGGCCCTGCCGTTCCGGGGCTGATGCCAGGCCCAGTGGGTTGTTAATGGTGAAGGTGTTTGCGTACCGCTCCAGAGGGTCATCTAGAGAGGCCACGATGCCCTCCTCCCACAGACGGTACAGCATGAGCACGGGGAAGATCTTGGAGATGCTGGAGATCCTAGAAAATGGTGGAAACACAAGGGTCAAAGGGCATCCTGTTGGCCCCACAACCCACATCCACCCTGTGCCCCCAGCCTGCAACTTTTTAGAATTCTAGAGAAGCACTGCATCCCTGCTTAAGTCAACATCTCCAGCAGAAATGAACCAGCCTCTGTGGAACTGCCTTTGGGATGCTCGAGAACACAAGCAGAGCTAAGGGGCTGAGGTGGGATGGATATCCTGTGCCAGGCTCTTTACCAGGCATTTCCCATTCAGGAACAGAGCTGGATTTGGATGGTGCCTCTGCCTCTCACTGGCCCTGTGGCCTTGGGCAAGTTTCTAGACCCATCTGAGATTCCATTTCATTGCCTGCTTCACCGGTTGTGTTAACAAAAGGATGGGATGGGGTTGTGTGTGTAAAGGGCCTGGCTGCACACCTGGGAGGTGCTAAGTGCTCAATACGTAAGAGCAGATAGAACTGTCGGCCCCATGCCTGGCACAGAGCAGGTGCAGTTTCAGTGCAATTCCCTCTGGACTCCTGTAAAACGCACAGTGTCCCCAGGAACAAATGTGTTCACTCTACATCGTGAGCTTTGAGGAGGAGCCTGCAGGCAGCACACAGGAGGGGAGACTCCCAGTATGCAGCATCTCAGTATGGAATAACTCCCATTGTGGAACATCCCCAGCTGTTTCCATCTGGGCCACTGTTGCCACTTGACAGGAACCTGGGGCAAGGACCCAGGAACTGATTATGGTTCCTTTGTGGCACATGGTCAGGATTGAGGGGATGGGCACAAGGCAGCCTTTTTTATTTTGGGAAGTTTAGAGCCAAGGTTCTTTCCAGAAGGGATTCCTTCCTGACCTTTTACCCCTGTAATGTAACATTGGGCACTCACTGGTCCTCTCTGGACTTCAGTCTCCTCTTCTATAAAATTGTCAAGACAGGTGGGGCACAGTGGCTCATGCATGTAATCCCAGCGCTTTGGGAGGCCAAGGTGGGGGGATCACCTGAGGTCAGGAGTTCAAGACCAGACTGACCAGCATGGAGAAACCCCGTCTCTACTAAAAATACAAAATTAGCCAGGTGTGGTGGTGCTAGCTACTCAGGATCCCAGCTACTCAGGAGGCTGAGGCAAGAGAATCGCTTGAACCCGGGAGGTGGAGGTTGCAGTGAGCCAAGATCACACCATTGCACTCCAGCCTGGGCAACAAAAGTGAAACTTCATCTCAAAAAAAATTATCAAGACTTGGTGGGGCGCAGTGGCTTACGCCTGTAATCCCAGCACTTTGGAAGGCCAAGGTGGGTGAATCACCTGAGGTCGGGAGCTCGAGACCAGCCTGACAAACATGGAGAAACTCCCTGAAATACAAAATACTGAAAATACAAAATTAGCTGGATGTGGTGGCACATGCCTGTAACCCCAACTACTCGGGAGGCTGAGGCAGGAGAATCACTTGAACCCAGGAGGCAGAGGTTGCAGTGAGCCAAGATTGTGCCATTGCACTCCAGCCTGGGCAACAAGAGCAAAACTCTGTCTCAAAAAAAAAAAAAAAATTGTCAAGACTTCATAACAGGCTCTGGCAGATTAGACCCCAGCCATGATTCTCTTCAGTATCCTTACCTCCTAGGTCCCCCTTGCCCTCCCATCCCTTTCCCCCTCCACAGGACCCTAGAGATCACCCAGCTGACCTGTACATGGTGTACTCATTGGGGGTCCCAGAAGTCGGGTCTGAGCCATTCTTCTTCCCAAAGTTCCCTGTCCAGAGCACAGTGTCATTGTGGATGACAACTGCAGACATGGCAGCCACGCCTGGGGTAGACATTGCCTGGCGCAGGATCCCGTCCACCTTGAGGGAGAAGAACGGGTGCAGTGACAGGCCCCTGCCCTCACCCTCAGTAGTCATCCTGCACAGCCACACCCTGCACACAGCCCCCCAGTGAGCCTCCAAACCATGCCCCATGGGCTGGGGCCCCCACTGTTGGGCTTCTTCATAAGATGTTTGCTCAAAGAAACAGTTTCTTAGCAAAAGAAAAAAGGAGAGGGGGTTAAAACTTTTGCTTTAAGGCCTGGCGGGGTGGTTCATGCCTGTAATCCCGGTACTTTGGGAGGCCGAGGTGGGCAGATTGCCTGAGGTCAGGAGTTTGAGACTACCCTGGCCAACATAGTGAAACCCTGTCTCTACTAAAAATACAAAAAGTTAGTCGGGCGTGGTGGCAGGCACCTGTAATCCCAGCTATTTGGGAGGCTCAGGCAGGAGAATCGCTTGAACCCAGGAGGCAGAGGTTGCAGTAAGCCAAGATGGCGCCATTGCACTCCAGCCTGGGCGTCGAGAGCAAAACTCCATTTCAAAAAAAAAAAACTACTGCTTTATAGTCAAACCCATGTCAGATGCCCTAGAAAACTTCCAATAGGCCTAGCCTGAACCCCTAATGTTGGAGAATTCACTATTAATGCAGGGCAGTCGGCCCTCTTTGAACATTTATTTGTTTGGTTATTTAATTTTCTTTTTTTTTTTACATGAAGTCTCATTCTGTCTCCCAGGCTGGAGTGCAGTGGCTCACGCACAGCTCACCGCGGCCTCGACCTCCCGGGCTCAGGTGACCCTCCCACCTCAGACTTGTGGAGTAGCTAGGAGTACAGACACATGTACTCCATCTCCTGACCTCAAGCAGCTCTCCCACCTTGGCCTCCCAACGTGCTGATTATAGGTGTGAGCCACGTCACCTAGCCTGAACATTAATTTAAAAATACCTCATTATTATCAGTGATAAGCATAATGATGATGATAACAGCTGACATTTATTGGGCATTTAGGATGTGCCAGGCTGTTATAGCAACAGTAAAAAAAATAATAATAATAAAAATTTAAAAATAGAAAGTACCAGGCATGGCATAAAGCGATTTTCATACATTGTCTCCTTTAATCCTCGCAAGTCAGTGCTAATTTCTGTCCATTTTGCAGATGAGAAATGAGGGCCTGTGAGATATGGGGTGACTTGCCCGTATGGCTACTGGCTGATGGAATCAAGATTAGAACCCTGTGCCAAGTCTAGCCCCAGTTCTTTTTTGCTGTTGTTTTGTTTTTTGGTTTTTTGGTTTTTGTTTTTTGAGACCAGAGTCTTGCTCTGTCTCCCAGGCTGGAGTGAAGTGGCGTGATCTCGGCTCACTGCGACCTCTGCCTCCTGGGTTCAGGCAATTCTCCTGCCTCAGCCTCCCAAGTAGCAGGGATTACAGATGGGTGCCACCATGCCTGGCTAATTTTTGTATTTTTAGTGGAGATGGGGTTTCACCATGTTGGCCAGGCTGGTCTTGAACTCCTGACCTCAGGTGATCCACCCGTCTCGGCCTCCCAAAGTGCTGGGATTACAGATATGAGCCACCGCACCCGGCCCCTATGCCTTAATTAACTGCCGGACCACCTTGCCAAGTGATTTTACATATCCTTGGCTGAGCTCTGTCCACCTCCACTTTCCATCCCTGCACTAACTTTGCCTCTCTGAGCCTCTGTCCCCTCTGTAGATAGGGATCCATGAGGAATGCGTGTAAGGGGCTTCATGGCAATGGCACCTACCAGGTGCTCAATAGAAGGTGGCATCGTTATTATTGTTGTTCTTTTGAATATTTGCTGTAACTCCTGAAAGCCACATGGCACCCTTCTGTTCTCTCCCCTTCACAAAAGCCTTTCAAGTGTTTGCAAACAGCGATTTTTGGCTCTGCATTGGCCCATGCCTTCTCTCTTCTTGGGACTCAACACCCTGTCCCTTTAACTGTTCCTCAGATGTCAGTTTCGAGTCTCCCCCACCATGCTATGGCTCATATATTTCTGATCATGTTGCACTCGTCTCCATGTCTCCCAAGGTGGGTGACCCAAGTGGCTGGGGTCTGACTGGCACAGGCTAGAGCCGACTGACACCTCCCTCTAGGATTTCGACATCCTGCAATGGTAAACGTCATGTTGGGGGGCACGCAGTGTTTAATCATATCAAAGTTGCCTCTGCAGCGTGGGCTCAGTCATCCTCACCCAGCCTATCCTCCCCACCTCCCACCTATGGCCTCTCAGTTCTCTGCATGCGTCATGTACTTTCTGCAGCCTCCAGGCCCTTGCAGGTGCTGTTCCACCTGTCTGGAGCACAGCCCTCCACCCCAGCCTCCCTCACCAGACACAGGTCATCTGGGCATCTGCTACTTGTTCACACTGCAGCCTAGACACCACTTCCTCCAGAAGCCCTCCCTGACCCTAAGGCCCATCCCTTTGTGCTCCCAAAGTCCCCTAAACTTTTCTTACCCTACTCTTGCCCCAGGGTTATAAATGTTTGATGTCTTCACTGTTCTCCTCACTTCCAGATCAGTAATTTCTTGAGAGCAGGTCAATGTCTTCTTCCTGTCATATTCCTAGTGCCTAGCAGAGTAGATGCTCAAGGAATACATGTTGGATGGATGAATGAATGAATGAGTGAATGCCACTGCCAGCACAGAGGGACTGCCCTCCCCTTCATCACCCAGGCCCAGCCCACATGTCCAGTTCCCTGATGGGTCATCACTGACCTTTTCCAGGGCCTCCTTCAACACAGGGAGTGGGTGGACCAGGGGCACTGGCTCAGGATGCCGGGGACACATCCTCACAGGGGCAGAGGTCTCCTCTGGTCCCAGGGAATCTGGAGCAAACATCACATGGTGAGGAGGGGACAGAGATCAGGATAGGAATCTAGGAGATAGGGGGAAAGTGGTGACAAAGGCCAGAACAGTGCCTCAAGGACAGCCCTCCCCAGCTGAGCCAGAGGATATCAGGGTGCAGAGACCAGCCATAGGCCCTGAGGGGCTATGGGGGAGAAGGCCCAGCCCCACAGGTGACATCCATCTGGCCACAGCTCCTGGTTGGTGGTCACTGCACTCCTCTCTCCCTTGCTTAACCAGCTTCCCATCTCCCTGTGGTCAGTGGACTTAGACCATTCTGGCTGCATGGGGCAGGCTCAGCCGCATCTGTCTGTACATCTTACCTGCCCTCATCCTGCTTCTGTGTTTGGGTGGACTTCCAGCCCCACTTATGACTCAGGCCTCAACTACAGCAACAACTCATTGTCTTACCAGAGCTGAGCCTCGGGGCCGTGGGGCTGAACCTGCTCTGCCTTTGTCGGGGTGTGTGACTTCCGCAGCACCTCAGGGGAGCTGGTGAGGAGCTGGCAGGCCAGGATTCAGGCTGTGATATCATCACAGCAGCACCCGAGCCTTTTCCTCTAAGGCTGGAGTGGGGTGTGAAGGGGGATGAGCAACCCCAGGACTATTAATACATCCTGCTCATCTTCCACTGCGCCCTGAGACTCCACCCAAAACTGAGACAATGTGCCTGTGGGAGGTTGCATATGACCATAGATTCTTTTGTGTTGTTGTTGTTGTTGTTGTTACGGAGTCTCACCCTGTCGCCCAGGCTGGAGTGCAGTGGTGCAATCTCAGCTCATTGCAACTGCTGCCTCCCTGGTTCAAGCGATTCTCCTGCCTCAGCCTCCCAAATAGCTGGGACTATGGGCGTCCGCCACCACACCTGGCTTATTTATGTATTTTTAGTAAACTGGGGTTTCACTATGTTGACCAGGCTGGTCTTGAACTCCTGACCTCGGGTGATCCACCCGCCTCGGCCTCACAAAATGCTGAGATTACAGGCGTGAGCCACCGCGCTCAGCCATATGACCATACATTCTGTCAGCTCCTTCCACCTTTGAAGCTGGCTGGCTTTGTGACTTGGCTTTGGCCAAAAGAATGAGGCCAAACAAATTGCGACCTTCCTAGGCCAGACCTTAAGGTGCTTACTCCCTGCGAACGCTGCCACCTTGTGGACAGGTCTGGGATAGCGGCCTTGAGAGCAAGAGAGAGTCTACACTGAGGGGGAGCCCCCACCACACCACAAGCTGACTTGCCCTCTGCACCAGAGAGAGCCCAGGCTAGACCAGCAGCAGAGCTGCCAGCCAGCCCACAGAATCATGGGAAATAATCAATTGCTTTGTTTGAAGCCAGTAGGCTTTGGGGTGGTTTGTTTCTTAGCAATAGATAACTGACACGGTCCCAAACAGAAAGATTACAAACCTTAGGGAGGATGCCTCAACAACATCATTATGTGGGTTTCACAGGATAGGATGGTCCCAGCTAGAGCCTAGGCTTTGCTCAACCTGCGACCCAGGTAGGGGCTGGTGTCGACAGTGCTGCTCCTCCCAAGAAAAATCACCAAGGAATCTTAAAAGGCAGGGTTGGCCGGGCGCGGTGGCTCACGCCTGTAATCCCAGCACTTTTGGGAGACCGAGGAGGGCAGATCGTTTAAGCCCAGGAGTTTGACACTAGCCTGGACAACTGACGAAACCCTGTCTCTACAAAAATTACAAAAATTAGCTAGACGTGGTGCCGTATGCCTGGTCCCAGATACTCGGGAGTCTGAGGTGGGAAAATGGCTTGAGCCTGGGAGGTAAAGTTTGCAGTGACCTGAGATTGCAACACTGCACTCAGCCTGGACAACAGTCAGACTCTGTCTCAAAAAAAAAAAAAAAAATGGCCGGTGAGGTGCCCACATCTGTAATCCCAGCACTTTGGCAGGCTGAGGTGGGTGGATCACTTGAGGTCAAGTTCAAGACCAGCCTGGCCAAAATTGTGAAGCCCCGCCTCTACTAAATCATCCAGGTGTGGTGTCAGGTGCCTGTAATCCCAGCTACTCAGAAGGCTGAGGCAGGAGAATCGCTTGAACCTGGGAGGCAAAGGTTGCAGTGAACTGAGATGGCACCATTGCACTCCAACCTGGGTGACAGAGCAAGACTCCAGATTCGATTCAGTGGATATGGGGTGGGGCCTGAGAGTCTGCTTGTCTAACCACCCCTCAGGTGATACCCATGGGAGGGTGAGCACCTAGATCAGCGCGGTCTGCAGACCACGAACTGTTTGTTTCCCATTTGTGACAAATTAAGTACAAGTTTGAGATAAAGCATTTAGAACTTTTCTTGCTATTTGATGAAGTAATTTTGCATCTGTTGAATCTAATAATTGAAAACTTGGGCTTCTGTTTTGCATGTCTTTTTATATTTCCCTAATAATTAATTCTTATGTATTTGTAAGTAATACTGGTCTGCTATGAATTGGTAGGTTAGTAGATTGAGAAGCATGGCCCTAGAAGACAGACCAGGCTGCCTACCCAGGGTCTATTTGCTTGAAAGGCTAAGATGCCCTTCATAAAGAAACTTACCCTAGAAAGAAAGGGCTGTGGGTGGGAGAGGAAGGAGCTGGCAAGAAAATAAAAGGAGTCATTTCTGCAAAAATCTCTGTGGGACTTGGGAGCCCAGGGCACCTCACTGAGATTTGGAGCATCTGTAACATAGGATGACACAGGAATGAAGACAGGCATTCTTTCCCCGACTTCTGCAGAGACATGGGACCCTGGACCACCCAGGATCCCAACGGGTTGGCAGTCCCAGGGATGGCTATACCAACAGTGGGCCCAGTAAGCAACACCAGCAGTGCTGGTTCCTTTATTGGGCCTTGATCCACCAGGAAGAAGAGGCTCCCAGGCATGGCAGCTGCTGCTTGTGAACACCTGTGAGCTGTTCCTATCCAGGTCTTAGATACAGCCTCAGGAGGGTCTTGAAAGGGGACTGCAGCCTGGAGATTCCACCATGGTGGCTGAAGGCAGAGGAAGGGAAACACCATTTGCTTTGTGTGTGTGTGTGTGTGTGTGTGTGTGTGTGTGTGTGTGCGCGCGCAACCCTGAATTTTACCCCCAAACTGCGCATCTTGAAGAAACCCCAGTGGCAGTGGCATCAGGATCCTCATTTTATACATGAGGGCATTGAGGCACAGAGAGGCCACAGTTAGTGAGAACTGGACTCAGAATGTCCCAGCGATGCACGGTTAGTGAGAGTTGGACCAGAATGGAGGATGGAGCTTCTGGGTCTAAATCTTATGGTGTCCCCTACACCTTAGGATCAGGGGTGGCAGCTCAAAGCCCAGGAGGACCCACGGGGCTATGAGGAAAAACTCAAGGCTGTCTCTGCACTCACCAGTCTTCAGCTTGGGGAGGTGATACTGCCACAGGAAGCAGCCAGTCATGACCACAGAGAGCAGGCAGAAGAAGCTGCAGATGGCCGGGAGGAGCCACTTCTTCTTCACTTTCAGAAAGCTGAGATGCCAACCAGCCTAGGGAAGCCAGGACATAGGGTACAGTCCCCTTGGGGGTCAGCCAGAGGGAAGAGAAGGACCCTAACCCTACCCCCTCCTAGCCTCAGGTTAGCCAGATGTCATGAGAGCCCACAGCTTTGGATAAATTTCACACCTGTGAAACCAATGCCCTTCCCAGTGTGACTTTTTCAATAGTTCTTCCTTGCAAGAGCACCCACACCTCTGCTTGCTGTACCTCACTCCCCTAGGGACTTAGTGGAATATCTTAAGACCAGCTGAAATGCCACCTCCTCCAGGAAGCTTTCCTTGACTCTTTTGTAATAGTCCGTTCTCATGCTGCTAATAAAGGCATGTCCAAGACTGGGTAATTTATAAAGGAAAGAGGCTTAATTGAGTCACAGTTCCACATGGCTGGGGAGGCCTCAGGAAACTCACAATTATGGCAGAAGGGAAGCAAACATGTCCTTCTTCACATGGCAACAGGAAGGAGAATGAGCAAAATGGGGGGAAAGCCCCTTATAAAACCATCAGATCTCCTGAGCACTCACTCACTATCACAAGAACAGCATGAGGGTAATTGCCCCCACAATTAAATTACCTCCTCTCATGTCCCTCCCATGACACATGGGGATTATGGGAACTATAATTCAAGACGAGATTTGGGTGGGGACCCAGCCAAACCATATCATCTCCTCACCCATGTCTCCTCCCAAGGCACTTGGAACAAGCCAGGGTACAAAGCCAACTCTCTGTAGTACCATAATTGTTCTACCATATTAGCTGGTCTACCTATTAGAGTGGGAGCTCTCCAAGGGCAGGGCCCCTTCTTCACTTTTCTCCTCTGTGGCCTCTGGTCTATCCTGGCTGCCCAATGCGTGCTTATGGAGTGAGTGTGTGGGTGCTGAGGGTGCAAGACGAAGCTTCCCTCCATCCCTCCCCACACCCACTTTCCAGAACATCTGCCTCTTCCATTCCTCCAATTTAGTGTTCTTGAGCCTGGGAAAGAGCACCCAGCAGGCACGTGTAAAGCTCTCAACACGTGGCTGGCACTCCACGGTGCTGGCCAGCTCTGGAAGGCTGGTCAAGTTGCCACAGCTCCCATGTTGCTCTGCCAAAGTGAGTAGAAAAACCTTTACAATGAAAAAGGACCTGTGTGGATACCTCTAGAAGGATGGCGCTGCAGAGAAATGGGGTCCTTTCCCAAAGACGGGTGTGGGAGATGGGTCAGGGCAGGCAACGCAGAGTGTGAGATGATGCGAGCAGGTCCTAAAGCCTGCCAGAGAGGGAAGCAGAGGGCAGGTAAGGAGGAGGCTGAGAGACTGGAGAGGGAGGACGTGTGGGTTTTCCGCCTTTGCTCGGCACTTCTTCCTGCCACCATGTGAAGAAGGACATGTTTGCTTCCCCTTCTGCCATAATTGTAAGTTTCCTGAGGCTTCCCCAGCCATGTTTAACTGTGAGTCAATTAAATCTCTTTCCTTTAAAAATTACCCAGTCTTGGGTATTTCCTTGCCACCAAGAAGAACTGTGTGTTCCCTCATAGTCAACCCAGACCCTGGAAATGCAGTGCCACTTCCAAAGCCTTTTAAGCTTCTGCGAAGCCTTTTAAGAGAAGTGTCAGTACGAGGCAGGCACTACTAGTGCCCTTATGTTACAGATGAGGCTCAGAGAAGTTGAGTGACTTGCCCCAGGTCACACAGCTAGTTGCAGAGCTGGGATTTGAACCCAAAGCCCAGTTTTCAACCTACTCAGCCAAAGTTCTGGAAGAGCCTTAAATATCGTTTGTGGAACCTTCTCATTTTTAGGTGGGAAAACTGAGGTTACAGGAAGAAAAGGACCTGTCTAAAGAAGAATAGCCATCATATATTGGATGCTAGCTTTATACCCTGCCCTGCCCTTATCCCTTAACTTGTATTATCTTATTACAACTCACAACCTTCCCATGAAGTTGGTTTGCCCATTTTAGAAATAATAAAATGTGCTCAGAGAAGTTAAGTGACTTGCTAAAGGTCGCAGAGCAAGGTGGTAGTGAACCCATTCTGCCTGACTCTCATCTGACATGTGACCTCTTTTGAACTACCATCATGTTCCCTGTGGCCTAAACTGTACTGGGAACAGGACTCTTCCCTGCTCTCCCCTGGTCCTTTTCTGTCTATCTTAGCAGGCCTACAGAATGTGAGATCTGGGAAGAATTCAAGATTATTCCTTCAGGGCCGGGCACTGTGGCTCATGCCTGTAATCCCAGCACTTTGGGAGGCCAAGGCAGGCGGATCACAAGGTCAAGAGATCGAGACCATCCTGGCCAACATGGTGAAACCCTGTCTCTACTAAAAATGCAAAAATTAGATGGGCTTGGTGGCACGCACCTGTAGTCCCAGCTACTCAAGAGGCTGAGGCAGGAGAATAGCTTGAATCTGGGAGGCGGAGGTTGCAGTGAGCCAAGATCGCACCACTGCATTCCAGCCTGGCACCTGGCAACAGAGCAAGACTCTGTCCAAAAAAAAAAAAAAAAAAAAAAAAAAAAAAAAAAAAAAAAAAAAAAAAAAAAAAAAAAAAAAAAAAAAAAAAAAAAATTCCTTCAGGACACTTATCCTGGGGATAGAGGGCCATTTCCACCTGGAAGTCCTCAAGCATCTAGAACTCAACATCCAGAAAAGACAACTCTCTTCTTTCACCCCTCCTCCCTTACTTGTATTTTCAACATCAGTTCATGTCACCTGCTTCCACTTAGTCACTCATGCCTCAGGGTCTGCCTGGGCCCCTCTATGTCCTTCAAGCCCTACCTCCAGCCAGTCATCAAGCCTTGCTGGCCTGTGACAATTAGGAAATATTTCAAGCATACTGAAAAATATACACTGGGCCCAGAGGCTCATTCCTATTATCCTAGCACTTTGGGAGGTCAAGATGGGAGGATCACTTGAGCCCAGGAGTTTGAGACCAGTCTGAGCAACATAGTGAGACCTTTTCTGTACAAAAAAATTAAAAATTGGCTGGGCGAAGTGGCTCACACCTGTAATCCCAGCACTTTGGGAGGCCAAGGCAAGTGGATCACTTGAGTCCAGGAGTTCAAGATCAGCCTGGGCAACATGGCAAAACCTACCTCTACAAAAAATACAAAAATTAGCAGGCGTAGTGGCATGTACCTGTAACCCCAGCTACTCAAGAGGCTGAGGCGGGAGTATCACATCAGCCTGGGAGGCAGAGGTTGCAGTGAGCCAAGGTCACACCACTGCAGTCCAGCCTAGGTGACAGAGTGAGACCCTGTCTCAAAATAAATAAATATAAAAATAAAAATTAGCTGGGTGTCATGGTACATGCCTGTGGTCCCAGCTACTCGAGAGTCTAGGTGGGAGGATTGCTTGATCCTGGGAGGTCAAGACTGCAGTGAGCCATGACTCACTGGCTCATGCACCATTACATGCCAATATGGATGACAGAGCAAGACCCTGTCTCTCTCTCGCTCTCTCTGTCTCCATGTATATATACACACACATATACACACACACATTTTATATATATATATATATATATATATATATACACACATATATATATATATAGAGAGAGACAGAGGGAGCGAGAGAGAGAGACATAATGTAATGAATCCTTAGCACTCAACTTTGTTGAATCTTAACATTATATCATATTTTTCTCATATATTTACATTTTTCGAATATATTATGTCATTAGTTATTTCCTTTTTCAGTTTCCCCATCCCACAGGGATTGTTGTTTGTTTTGTTTACTGAGGTATCCCCAGTACCCAAAACAGTTCCCAGAACATAGCAGACCCTAATAAATATTTGTGGATTTTTTTTTTTTTTT